GGCCTTGCTGAAGTCTAGAAAGACTACGTCCACAGCAACACGGCAACCATTGCCTTTGTGACCTGATCATTGTGTCTCAGGGGCAGAAAAGAAATAATTATTATAGGCAGATAACTATGTTAGTTAGTGCAGATTAACTGTTGTAGCTGGTTCAGAGAGTAGGCATGTGTTCTGGAACAGTTTATACAACACATTTAGTGAAGCTTTATAGGGCCAAACCCTTAGCTAATTGCATCAGTTGGAGCTTTGCATGAGGAAAGATAAACATTTTAAGTACTTTGAGTTTGGGCTCGCTCTGAAAATCAGTGAGTTCATCCGTGAGTTGCATACATTTTCTGGATCTCACCATTTTTAAAAGTCCCAGTTGAAAAAAAAAAAATGCAATTTGAGTGGCAAAGATTGTTTCTTCCTGCCTTGTTTCACCATTGCTTTACATTCAAGGAGAATGTCCAGCTGTTGCTTCGTATAGACAGGGAAATTAAAATGTTCTGCAACAGGCCTTTGTGGAGTTGCACTTTAACCTCCCCAGACACTTCATCGCTGACCTCAGGGCAGCTGTTCTTAGGCAGCAAACCTTGAACTGACATGAACAGGGGTTTGCAGAACAAGAAATCATCCAGACAGTGGACTATATTGAGTATGGTCTAAACAAGGAGTACCGATTTTTAGCTCTTGTGACCCCTTTGTTTCTACCAGTTCTTTGCTTGGGTTCTCCTTTCACCCCACCGCCTCCCTCCCCCTCCTTTCCTATCTTTTGTACCCAAATCGCTGTCTCAGCTTTATACACTGCTCTGTGCATGTTCTCCTTTCCCAGCATCTGATGAAGTGAGATCCAGCTCACAAAAGTTTCTAGTATATATATCTCTAATGTAGTTAGTCTATAAGGTGAAAATCGACCTTGCCTTCTGCTCGACTTCAGACTAATATGGCTAACTAGATCTCTCTTCCAATAGACACATACTGTTGCTATTGACATAACCTGTTAAAATCTGTTTGCAAAACAAACATCCCCAACTCACCACCTTGCTTCACAGATTTAGTTTCACAGCTGGCCAACTAACTTTTGGCTTTTACTTTTCAACCCCCTGAGGTGTATTTTACATATTTAAAGAATCTTCATTTTAAAAGGTGCCCCGGTATTCCTTTGTCAGTTGATCTTGTATGCAAAAAACAGGCTTAACTATGAAGCTCCATCCCAGTTGGGGCTTGTCTACACTTGTACCATTTCATTTTTGTACTTAGTCAAATTTGTTGCCTACAGCTTTAGGTAAATCAGTACAGTCAGCTACAGCAGATGCAGTTATACCGGTATCAAGGGGAATGTGTCAGGATAACAAACTCCCTCATAGCAGTATACCCATTTGCAATAGGTTGCACCAGTGTATTTATCTTTAACATTCAGATGCATTGCTGAAAAGACTGCACATAAAAAAGGCCTAGCAGACATAGCTGTAAGTGGATCCTACTATATGTACCTGCCTAGAGCCCCTCATGAAGCATTAAATTTAAAAGACCTGATTTAATCTTCTCGAAACTAATGTGATGTGCAAACATTTTGTTGAAACGGGGACTAAGAGAACATGGATTTTTTTCCTTTCTTTCATTTGTTTGCAGTGCCATGGTACAATGTTGGCAAAAGTCGCATTTAATGGTTGCTTGTAAACATACATAGTTCTGATTTAAAATCATCATGGATTTTTTTCAGAACAAACAATAAAACTTTTTAAAATGGCCAAACCAAAGAAAAGACATTTAACTGTAGTTTAGGGTAAAAAATGGGACAGTTTCAGAGGGCCTTAAATGGGGCCAAGAAGGAATTGTTCCCCCTTCTATTGCTACAATTATTTTTTTTAACCTTCCTCAGAAGTATTGGGTGTTGGCCACAGCAAAGCCTGGGGGTTTTGACTGGGGTGTAACAATACCCCTGCTGGGATTAAAACCTAGAGGTACCTGATTAGAGGGTCTTGTTCTTCCACCCAGGGTCAGACCGATCAGTGGGATTTGGAAAGGAATTTTACCCCATGATCACATTGGTACAAGCTGTGGGGGTTTTGGTCTTCCTCTAACAGGAGGTATGGCTCCCTTCCTTCAATCTCTTAAGCGCATTTTAACCCCCTTTCAACATCAGGACATGAACTGCCATTATCCTCCTGCTCTGCCTGTGGGAGGCTAGGGTGCTTTTGGTGTCTTTGGGCAATAAGCCTTGTAGTTGTGTGACAGGGTTGGCAGTGTAGTTTTAGGTTACACAAGGGCTCGTATGCTGGTTTGGTGGGTTTTTTTTTTTTTTTTT